TCTGGCAGAAAATGAAGGAGCTGGGAGGGAGGCTAGGGAGTGAGAAGGGAGCCTGCAATGTTAAATAAGATCACTCAGGAAGGCCTGAGGAGGCACTTGAAGGAGGCAAGGGTGTGAGCCACTCAGAGATCTGGGGAAGAATGTTCCAGGCAAAGGCCCTGGGTATGAGCGAGCGATTTAGGGATTCCTGGAGTAGTGGAGGCCAGCGTGGCTGAAGTCAAGGAGAGAAGGGGAGCAGTTGGGAGCCAGATCCCTCAGGCCACCTTCAGCCTTCGGCTTTTAGCTCTGGATGAGGGGAGTGCGGGGGGCCAGTGACCCGACTCCTGTGTGTGTAGGATCGCTCTTGTCACTGTAGTGAGGTCAGACTGAAGGAGGCAAACCCAGAGCAGGAGACCAGCAGGAGGTGGCGGTGGTGAGGAGACGTGGTCATATTCTGGAGCTATCTTGAAGGTACAACCAATAGGATTTGAGCATGGATTGGATTGGGCATAGAGTGGAGGGCTGGCAGCAGTAGGGGCAGTAAAGGAAAGAAAGGAGGCCTCCAAGGGTCCTGGCCTGAAATACACTTGGATCACATGTTGGGGGAAGATCATGGGTTTATTTTGGGTAGGTCAAGTTTGAGATGTCTGCTAGGCATTCAAGTAGAGAGACATGGGGTAGAGGCCAGGCTGTTGGGTGCAGGGGTGATGGGGCAGAGGAGGGAGCCTAGAGGACTGAAGGCGGGAGAGCCAGTCCTGCTGCCTATCAGGTGAGGATTGGAGTTTGGGGGATGGGCACTCCTCCCCAGCTAACCTCAGCAGGGCTGAGTCTGATAAAAGACAGGTGTAACCACTTCCCAAGGCCATGGCTGACCCAGTTCTTTCTGCTGCCCTAATGGCTCTGATCACACTCAATCTCCTGTGACCTTGTGTTTGTGATGTTTGTCCACTTTGACACGCACAGTTCTGGATCAACAGTCAGCAAACTAAGGCCCTCAGGCCAAGTCTGTCTGAGTAAATAAAGTTTTACTGGGATGCAGCCATGCCTGTTTGGTTGTCTAAGGCCGCTCTTCCGTGCCAAGGGGAGTGGTTGCCAGAGACCACATGGTCTGCAAAACCTGTAATATTTACGATCTGGCCCTTTAAAGGAAAAGTTTGCTAACCTTGCTCTCCATCTTTCATTGAAACAGTGTGTAATTCTATTACAGCAACTTAGTTATTTAGTTAAGTTTATTTATTCATTAGATAGGGTCTCACTCTGTTGCCCAGGCTGGAGTATGGTGGCACAATTACAGTTCACAATAACCTCGAACTCCCAGTTATCAAGAGAGCCTCCGTCTCAGCCTCCCAAAGTGCTGGGATTATAGGTACAAACCAGCGTGACCAGCCAGTAAACTATTAAATATGACATGTAGGTGCCGGGCGCGGTGGCTCACCCCTGTAATCCTAGCACTCTGGGAGGCCGAGGCGGGAGGATCCCTCGAGGTCAGGAGTTCGAAACCAGCCTGAACAAGAGTGAGACCCCGTCTCTACTATAAATAGAAACAAATTAATTGGCCATCTGATATATGTAGAAAAAATTAGCCGGGCATGGTGGTACATGGCTGTAGTCTCAGCTACTGGGGAGGCTGAGGCAGGAGGATTGCTTGAGCCCAGGAGTTTGAGGTTGCTGTGAGCAAGGCTGACGCCACAGCACTCACTCTAGCCTGGGCAACAAAGTGAGACTCTGTCTCAAAAAAATAAAAATAAAAAAAAAAAAAGACATGTAGGTGGCTCCCAATTTTTTGCAATTATGAAAATGTTACAATCAACATTCTTTTTTTTTTTTGAGTCAGAGTCTTACTCTGTTGCCCGGGCTAGAGTGAGTACTGTGGCGTCAGCCTAGCTCACAGCAACCTCAAACTCCTGGGCTCAAGCAATCCTCCTGCCTCAGCCTCCCAAGTAGCTGGGACTACAGCCATGCACCACCATGCCCGGCTAATTTTTTCTATATATTTTTAGTTGGCCAATTAATTTCTTTCTGTTTTTAGTAGAGACAGGGTCCATTCTTGCTCAGGCTGGTTTCGAACTCCTGACCTTGAGCAATCTGCCCACCTCAGCCTCCCAGCCACAATCAACATTCTTAACCACATTTCCTCAGGCTCCTGTTCACACCTACAAGTGAAATTCGTGGTGTGTAAGGACACGGGCATCTTCAGTTTGGGTAGATTTTGCCGAAATGTTCTCCAATGTGGCTGAAATCATTTACACCCCCAGCAGCAGTGTAAAGAATTCCCAATTTTCCACATTCCTCTAAAACTCAGGATCAGATGTTGTCAGACTTATTAGTTACACAAATCTTTTATTTCTATTCCCTTGGATTTTCTGGCTGTGAATGATATTAATAGCTTTGGTCCTTTTGTTTGTCTTGGGGCTCAGGACCTCCATAAGTACTGAATTTTGTCCGGTGACCCTTTGTTCCTGGCTTTAAAGGGAATAATGCTTCACGTTTCACCATATACACCGTATGATCCGGTGCTTTACTGTTACGTTTCCTGCAGGTTGAAGTTTTTTATTTTATTTGGTAGAACTCACCTAGAAAACCATTTAGATTAGTTGGATTTTTGATGCGTAGCTTTTCAATTTTGTTTTCTTCAATCTCCTTAATAGACATAAAGCTACTCAGTTTGTCCCTTTCTTTTAAAATTAGTTTTGGCAATTTTTTTTTCTAGATGTCCATTTACTTGGATGGAGTTTATAATCTTTTTTTTTTTTTTCTTTTCTATTTCATCAACTTCTTCTCTTCATTATATTCCTTTCACTTCCTTTGGGTTTATACTGTTACTCTTTTTTAAATTTGACTCTGCTGTTTGATTTTCTACATTTCTTGTTAGCTAATAAGGCTGTAAATCTTCTAAATGCTGCTTTAGCTGCCCCTCACCCAAGTTTTTATGTCTATCCTCATTTTTTATTTGATCTAAGTATTTTTCATTTCTATATGATTTCATCTTTGAGTAAAGAGTTATTTATAAATTTCCAAACATTTGGAGCTTACTTGGCTCTTGTCCATCTGTGGTCAAAGAATATGGTCTGTCTGAAATTGATATTTGATATCTGTTGAGCTGTCTTGTGCCCTAATAGTTAGGGTATTTGTTGTAAATGTTCCTTGTGTGCTTGAAAGTAAGGTCCTGTTGAGTTTAGGATTCTATTGGGGTCTACTGATCAGAATTATTAATTGTATAAAATCTTCTATATTCTTTCTTTTTTGGCTGTTCTGTAAGTTACTAAAAGAGGTGTGAAATTTCCCACTATGATGAAGGGTAGATGACTTGGCAATTTCTCCTTGTATACTGTCATTTTTGCTTTATATATTTTCAGCATTTTTTGGTAAAACCAGAACATACGCGTTCAGAATTGCTCCCTCTTCTTAAAGAATTATCCTCTATCTCTAATGATGTCTTCTGCCTTTTTCTTTTTTTTAAAAGAGATGAGGTCTTGCTCTATCACCGAGGCTGGAATCCAGTGGCCTAGTTGTACTTTACCTAACCACAAACTCCTGGGCTCAAGTGATGTTCTCATCCCCACCTCTCGAGGTACTAGGATTACAGACACGAGCCATTGCACTCAGACTGCCTTCTGCCTTCAAACTTATTTTGTCTGATTTTTCTACAGGTACATCTTTGGGTTAGGTTTTCTCTAGTACACCTTTTTCCAGGTTTTTACTTTGGGTGCCCTTAAGTTTTAAATGTCCTCTTGTAAACAGTATAGAGCTGCATTTTTTTCGAGACAGAGTCTCAAAAACACTCTGTTCCCCGGGTTAGAGTGCCGTGGCATCAGCCTAGCTCACAGCAACCTCAAACTCCTGGGCTCAAGCAATCCTTCAGCCTCAGCCTCCCGAGTAGCTGGGACTACAGGCATGCGCCACCATGCCCGGCAAATTTTTTCTATATATATTAGTTGGCCAATTAATTTCTTTCTATTTATAGTAGAGACGGGGTCTCGCTCTTGCTCAGGCTGGTTTTGAACTCCTGACCTCGAGCAATCCGCCCGCCTCGGCCTCCCAGAGTGCTAGGATTACAGGCGTGAGCCACCGCGCCCGGCCTAATTTTTTCTGTATGTTTTTAGTTGGCCAACTAATTTCTATTTTTAGTAGAGATGGGGTCTCGCCCTTGCTCAGGCTGGTCTCAAACTCCTGATCTCAAACGATCCGCCTGCCTCTGCCTCCCAGCGTGCTATGCTAGGATTACAGGCCTGAGCCACCGCGCCCGGCCTCTCCCTGACTCTTAAGTCACAGATTCAACTGGTTGATGGTATTTTTCTTTCAGCGGTTTATAAAGATTACATTTATTCCAGCTTCTATACTTGCTGCTGAGAAAGCTATTTTTGGCGTAGTATTTTTAGTTAACCCATCCTCCTTTGGTAGTTTTTAAGATCTTTTATTCTTTGGAGTCCTGCAAGTTCACTACAAAGTGTCTAGGTGTTGATTTTTATTTATCCTGTCGTGGATTTTAAGAGAGGATCCTGGTCTTTAATCAATTTAGGAAGCTCTCCTTCAGGAACTGCCTCTCCACATTCTTTGTGCTCCTGGAGCTCTGGGCCTGTGAGTTCTTTCTCATGTTAACATTGTCACTTCCTCTCACATTCTTCATCCCCAGCCTCTGGTTAATTGCTGATCTATCCTCCAATTCCGTGATTTTCTCTTCTGCGGTGTCTTAATCTGCTTTCTTACCTCATCCTTTGAGACTTGAATTTCAATATTCTATTTTTCAATTCTAGAATTCTGTTTAAAGCCGGAGTGTTCTTTCCTACAGCCTTGCTTTCGGTTCCCTGGCCCTCGCCCCGTGAAGGCGCGGGGACCCTGGGCTCACAGCCCTTCCCCGCAGTCCTCCCAGTCTCACAGCAGTCCTGACTGGGAGAGGTGCCGCGCAGGCCATGACGTCACGGGACTGTGACGCGCCCTGGGCCCCGCCCCTCCGCATCCCGGGCCGAGAATCCAAGCTCTCTGCGCCGTGACGTCACGAGTCCGGGCGGGCGGGTTTTGCGTCGGCCCAATGGGAGCGGCGCGCCGGCCTCCCCTTTAAGGAATGTTGTGACCTGACGTCACCGGGCGAGTTACCTCCCGCAGCCGCCGCCGCTGGGCTCAGCGCGAGCCCCGGAGCCCTTGAACGTGAGGCGCGAGCCCCGAAACCCCCGAACCGCAGCCACCTCCTCAGGCGCGCCCCGGAGCCCCGGCCTGCGCGCCCCGCCGGGCCCGCGCGATGCCCTCGGATCGGCCTTTCAAGCAGCGGCGGAGCTTCGGTGAGGCCCGGCGGGCGATCCGCGAGAGCGGGGCAGGGGGCTCCGGGAGGCCGACCGACCCCGACTGCCGCAGGTGACGTCAGCCCCGTGACGTCAGGCTCGGGCCGGACCCCGGGCTGGGAGGCCGGCTCGGGCCTGGGTGGGGGCCGCCCGCCTCTCCACCACGTTCGGTGCCAGGGGCTGTGGGGCCTGACGGCCCCGGGGGCGGGGGCTGGGGCGGGGCCGGGGCTGGCCCTCGGGACAGGCGGGGCGGAGCCGCGGAGAGGGCTTGGGCCTGGCCCGGCCTCACAGCCCGACTGACCGCGTTCGCAGCCGACCGCTGTAAGGAGGTGCAGCAGATCCGCGACCAGCACCCCAGCAAGATCCCGGTGAGTTCCCCGGCCCTGCCCTGCCCAGGTCCCAACCCGGGCCCAGGCGTTCCCGACCCGACCCTTGCCCGCCCCACTCCCAGGTGATCATTGAGCGCTACAAGGGGGAGAAGCAGCTGCCCGTCCTGGACAAGACCAAGTTCCTGGTCCCAGACCATGTCAACATGAGCGAGTTGGTCAAGATCATCCGGTGTGTGGGCAGCAGCCGCCAGAGGGGGTTTGAGTCGGAGTAGGGGAGGGGGCCGGGCATGGGGTCAAGGGCAGGGCTGAAGTCAGTTGGGTCAGCGGTGAGAGCCTCTGGAAGGGGCAGGGATGGGTGTGGAAGAGGCTCAGAATCATTCTGGGGAGGGGCTCAGGGCTCCGCCCACCCAGCCCCTCACTGCGATGCCCCCTGCCCGCCTTAGGCGCCGCCTGCAGCTGAACCCCACGCAGGCCTTCTTCCTGCTGGTGAACCAGCACAGCATGGTGAGCGTGTCCACGCCCATCGCGGACATCTACGAGCAGGAGAAGGACGAGGACGGCTTCCTCTACATGGTCTACGCCTCCCAGGAAACCTTCGGCTTCTGAGCCAGCAGTAGGGGGGGTTGGCCTGGGAGTGGGGGGGCCCGTCAGGTTCTGCCCAGGGAGCTTCTGAACTGAGCTGCCCCTGGTGGGCTGGGCAGGGATGTGGCTCCCTAGCTAGGGGACACCAGCCTACTTTGCCCCTCTGGGTGCTGGCTGGGATGGGGGAGGGTGGAGAGCAGCCCCCAGCACCCCTACTGTGTGGTTTGTCTTTTTTTTAGGCCCCTGCCTGTCTACCCCTCACCTACCTGAGGCTCTGCCCCCCACCCCCTGGACCTGCCCACCCCTGACAGATCGGTCCTTGGCTCTCCGGTCTCCACATGGTGTATGGATCTGTGGTCATTGTCCCTCTGCAGAATAAAGAGTGCTCAGGCCTGCCTGGCCCTTTGCCTCCAGCCGCTTGCTTGGGAGCAGGGAGGGCTGTGGGTGGGGCCGGCCCACACCACTCTCAGCCCGCCAGTGCATGGACTAGTGGGCTATATGGACCTGGGGCTCATTCTAGAAACCCACACCTGTATGTAGTTCCCCTGGCTCGTGTTTTGGGCCAAGCCCACCCCCACCAGGAGTGCAGTGTGGATGTGGTCCCAGGGTAGACGACTTCATAACAAAACACGTTTATTAAGTAGCCACAACCTAAGAAGCCCTGCTCACCTGCTGCTTCCCCCTTCCTGCCTGGGAGGGGGGGTCCTCCATATGCAGAGCCACAAAGTGGGGGTCCAAGTGGGGTGTTCTCAGCCACTCCTCCAGGCCTTGCTGTCAACCATGGTCCCCTTTGGTACCAGAGATTTGTGAACCTGGACTAGAACCTCTTCTGCCCAAGGACTCTGCTGACAACTCTGGATAGAGGGCGTGGCCCAGCTGCTGGCCCTTCCACCTTCTGAGGTCCGTGTAGCCCTGTGCCCGGCCGGGCCTACTTGAGCACCAGCATGGCCTCTGTGCCGTCCTTGGCAGTCAGGTAGAGCCCGTGTGTGAGGTAGTATTCCCGCCGCAGGAAGGCATAGAAGTAATCAGAGATGAGCAGGATCTGGGGGAGAAAGAGAGTGTGAGGAGCTATGGGGCACCTCCCCCTGAGCCCATGGCCCTGGCAGGTCTAGGCAGAAGGTGGACACAGCAGCGCCCCTACAGGGCACCTCTCATCAAGGTCCCAGCCTGGCCCTGGATCAACCACTGAGGAGGCCCTGCCCAGGCACCCTCTCCTAAGGGTCCATATTTGACCCTGCAAGACCTTGCCAGCCCCTCCGAAGCTGCCCAGATTCCTACCCCTCTCACAGTCTACACCTCCAGCCCAAGCTCTGGCCCCCAAATGCCTGTGCAGTCAGGGGCCCTTCCCCTCTCAAGTGCCCATGTGCTCTTCACCCCAGTCAGGCACCCACCAAACACTTCACCTTCTCCCACAGGCACCCATGTCTCTAGCATCCAGGTGCCCATCAAGCCATGAAGTCCTGTCAATTCTACCTTCTAGACTCTCAAATCTACCCTTTGGATCCTTCCCCACAGCCATCACCCTGGACAAAGCCACTGTCATCTCCTAAACAACAGTAAAGCCTTGTTCCTGGGCCAAGTCCCTGCTCTCAAACCTGCCCCCACCCCATTCTCCCTGGCAGCCAGAGAGCTTTTCAAAACATAAATCTGATCATGTTACTTCCAGGCTTAAAATCCTCCCAAGGCTTCCCATGTTCTTAGGGTGTAGCTCAAACTCCCTGGTGCTCCTCGGCCTTGCACCTGATCCCTGCCACGTGTGCAGTACCCTCTCCCTGCTCCACCTCGCTCCACTGTAGGCTCTTCACCGATTCCTGCCTGGAATGTCCTCTCCCCTTTCATCTAGTCGAGTTTCTTGCCCTTCAGGTCTCAGGAAAGATCACTTATCCCCCAGATCAGGTCCCAGCAGCACCAACCTCTATATGCTAGCACAAACTCATCCAAACTGCAATCTCACATTCAGCAGTGTGACCGCCTGATGGCTGTATCTCCTCTCTTAGACCAGGAGCTCCACTAGGGCAGGGTCCCTTAGTGGTTCTGTCACTAGGGCATCTCTGTGCCCAGCTCAGTCTTTCCCATTCTGGGCCATGAATCAAAAGGGGCCTAGAGTCTGTAGTCCCAGCTATTTGGGAGGCTGAGGCGAGGGGATCACTGGAGCCCAGGAGTTCAAGGCTGCAGTGAGCTGTGATCATGTCACTGCACTCTAGCCTGGTGGCAGAGGGAGATCCTGTCTCTAAAATAAAAGGGGGCCCAGAGGGGACCAGAAGCTCAGCTCACTGTCCCCCTCACAGAGGCCCTGAGAGGAACGGGGATCTGCCAAGGTCACAGGTTGAGCTAAGCCTGGATCTAGACCCCCAGGACCCTGTCCTGGGCAGCTTCTCACTCACCTGAAGGTAACACAACAGCTGAGGACAGCTTGGAGGGGCCTGGAGGAGTTCAGGGAGATGTCACGTCCCTAATAGCATTGATGGTCTCAGGACAGGTAGCCACCATTCTATCACCAAAGCTTGTCTGGAAGGTTTAATAATCCCCATTTGTAAGATGGGGAAATTGAGACTCAACGGGTTCAATAGCTGGCCTGTGGCTACACCTGGAGAGCTAGACTAGTGGCCACGGGGCCTGCAAGGTGACACGCCTGGGGCCAGTTCACTAATGGGCATGAGACTCTGCTAAGGATGTCAGCAAAGCAGATAGAGATCAGGCAGCCCCTGAGGCCTTGCCCGGTGCTGGGCGCAGTGACCACAGCAAAAACTGACCCCGTACCCTGCAGCCCTCTTTCTCACTCAGGCCCCAAGATGCCATCTGGGCAAGAGAAGCCGGCAGCAGTGGCTGAGCTCAGAGGCTAATCCCTGAGCCAGGGGTCAGATGAGGGACAGGTGCAAAGTCACAATTCACAACCAAACAAATGAGGCAACTCGATGTCACACAACAATCAGCTAGACAAGTAGTAAGTCAAAATATTAGGTTATTAGGTTGAACTGTATGAAACTGCCATTTTTGCAGATCCCTCAGCCCCAAGGTGGTCAAGACTTAGTGACTCACTTCCTGCTCGCAGCACAGAAAGGGAATAGCACATGTATAGGGGAGAAACCTGGCAGCCACTGTCCCAACCAAGTGCTGAAGGCTCACATTAGCCTGAAACCATGTGGTTAGCATGTCCCCACAGGATGTGATGAATAGGGCCCTTCACCTGGGGTATTCTTGCCCAAAACCCATAACCACAGGACAATCTTAAGAAAAGCGTCAGACAAACCTAAATTGGGTAACATTATACAAGATACCTGGCTGGTGCTACTCAAGACTGTCAATCAAGGTCACAAATAAAGACTAAGAGGCAGAGCAAGGACCAGTGCAATGCAGTCCCAGGATAGGGCCTGGCAGAGGACACAACTGGAAAAACCAGTGAAACCCAAATCAAGTCTGGTGTCTTACACTAACAGCACCAGCCCTGTATCGGGGGTAGTTTCTTAGTTCTGACAAGTACACCATGGTATCACACGATGTCAACAACACAGGAAACCCAGTGTGGGACATATGGAAACTCTCTGTTCTATTTTTGCAACTTTTCTATAAATCTAAAATGATTCCAAAATTAAAAGTTTATTTAAAAAGTAGTGAGCTAGCGGGGCATGGTGGCACGTGCCTGTAGTCACAGCTATGCAGGAGGCTGAGGCAAGAGAATCGCTTGAGCCCAGGAGTTCAAGACTCACCAGGGCAACACAGTGAAACCCTATCTCAAAAATAAATAAATAAATAAATAAAAATAATTAAAAAATAAAAAGCACTGAGTTATTGTTATATGTAACAACATGAATGAACCTCAGAAACGTTTTGCTGAGAAGGGGGCTTCAGCAAGTGTACATTAAGATTTGCATTTTTCACTGTAGCTAAGTTTTAAGTAACAAAAATGTAAACAAATAATGAACTCTAGTTAATGATACACATACTGAGATATTTACCAGGAAATGTACTAATGGCTGCACTTCAATATGAAATACACCAAAAAACCAAGATGGACTGAGGGAAGGATGCTGTGATAGAACAAGTATAGAAGAACATCAGTGGTGGACTCTGGGTGGTGGGTTCCACGTTAAATCTCTCATCTTCCTGTGTGTGAAGATCTGCATAATAAAACGGGTGGGGGAAAGAGCCCTGTGTGCCTGCTTGGCCACACAGTGCTAAGTGTCATCAGTCTGAGGGGGTGCCCTGCCCCCCGGGAGAGGACACCAAGTGGCCTGGAGGCCTGGCTCTTTCTGAGGGAAGCCCACAGCTGGTCATAGGCCGGCTGAGATGACCTCTTCTGGCCTTGGGGCTTTCCATCCGAACTGTGAGGAGATGGGATTTCCCAGGGCCTAGCATCCAGCCCACATGGCAGCTGCAGACCAGGGCCCCTTTGCCCGGGCTGGGCAGGGGCGAGGTGGGCAAGCGGCAGTGGAAACAGCATGGGCATGTCAGTGACTGGGTGACCCTGCCTAAGTCTCTTATTGCGCCCTAAGCTGCATTTTCCTCACCTGTAAAATGAAAGCATAAGCTCAGTTTATTACTCACCTGGACTTAGGGACCCAGAACATGGCTGCCCTCTCTCCCCTCACCTGAAGCAGCTGAGCCCCTGCCTCCCTCCTCCGGCAGTTGTGTGTCCTGTGCATCCTCCTCTGACTTCCCACTCGGCCCCTTTCCTCCCGCAGCCACCTCTTGCTGGGAAACACCCCCCCCCCGTCCTCCCTGCCGAGGGTGCGCACATGAGTGTACACGCACACGCAGAGAGAGCCCTTCGAGTGCCTGCTTGGAAGCTCCCTTGCTCCCCTCTGCCCTCACACACGCCCACCCCAGCAGCCTGCATTTTGTCAAGGACCAGGTAACTATTGATCCCTCAAGAGGTGCCATTTCCCACCTGGAGGCTTCTCTAACTGCACACTCAGTGATGTGACCCCCCCAAAGTGAAGTCACTGCTCCCTGGCCTCCTAACCAAATGGAGCGGCATCTGCTCCAACTCTGTGGCCCGGCGCAGCACAGGGCTCCAGGGTTGCTCCCCTCTGGGCCATGGTGAAGAGTTAACGGGGCAGCTGACAAAAGGATGGCCAGGGACAGAGAGGGCAAGTCTGAAGTGGCATGAAACATCTCGCTCCACGCAGGGTAGGACAGGAGAGACAGGGAACAATGTCTTCTGAGCATGTGCCCTGGGCCAGCCCCTTTAACAAAAAACCACACTGACTCTTTACAGCTCCCTAGGGGAGGGCAACAACCCCCACTTCCAGAAGCACAGGGGCTAAGGGGCCCGCCCAGGGGCCCACGGCAGTGAAGTGCGCTCAGGCTGCAACGCCAGAGCTGCCCGTCAGCCGACCCGAGTGTGCCCCGTCACCCCACGGTCCCTCAGAGTCTGCACCCAAGTGTGCTGCGTCCTGCT